TGCATATGGAATTCCTCCGTTTCTCCTGAGCCTTCAGCTCTGGCGTGCTTCTCAGGGTGTATCTTTTTCCACACAGGAAATGCTCCACTAGATCCTGAAGCTTCTCTCCCTGACCAAGATACGCCTGTCCCCAAGAGCAGGAAAGCCATGGCTGTTCCCAGAGGGAGTCCTTCAGCCTGCTTTCTGTGGATGCTACTGCTGTGGGGAGGGGATAGTGGCTGCCAGGCCCAGCGTGCAGGTGGGACATTAAATTGGGGATAGGATGGTCAACATTCATGTGTGTGTGTGTGTGTGTGTGTGTGTGTGCACGCAAGTGAAGGTGGGATCCTGTGAATTAGTTCATGACTGACTGAGTGTGCAAGAGTGTCAGCAATCTAGCAAGTGTATCAGCTGTCCTCCAACTGATATGGACGTGTGTAAGCGCCGTCTGTTCAAATGGGGCCTGTGATCGCAAAATAATGTGTGAGAGAATGTGAGAGTGTGCCGTAGTGTGTGAGAGACTGTGAAAGACTGGGCCTGTGGGTAAGAATGTGTGTAAACAAATATGATTCTGTGAAGAATTTGTAAGCGAGTGTGTGTTGAGAGGAGCTATGAAGAGGGTTTTTATGAGAAGGTTCTGTGAGAAAGAGTGTGTGAGGAAGGATGTGTGTTTGTGAGTGTAGTGTAAGAGCTATGTGTGAAAGAGGGATATGAGAGAAGGGCTGTGAGAGAGGGTATATGTGTGAGAGATGGTGTATGTGAATGTACTTGAGAGAATGTGTGAGAGAAGATGTGTGTTAGAGAGGGTGCATGTGTGAGGAAAGGAGTGTGTGTGAAGAAAGGTGAGGAGGGCTGAGAAAGAGCTTGGCTCAATTCTCTGTAGATTGTAGCTTGGACTTTGAAAACTGGAGGGAGATGCAGGTGTAGGAGATTCAAGTAAAGCATAGGCTCAGACCACACTGTGAAGTGTGTGTGTGTGTGTGTGTGTGTGTGTGTGTGTGTGTGTGTGTGTGTGTTTCTGGGATTTGCTTTTTACTGATTTACAAGTATAAAAGCGAAACATATAAAATAGTAAAATTAATAGCTCTTTCATAGCTCTGTATGCCTCGGGTTTCCTTAGGCATACATGCAGAATTGTACACACACACACACACACACACACACACACAGAGAGAGAGAGAGAGAGAGAGAGAGAGAGAGAGAGAGAGAGAGGCAGACAGATAGACAGACGGGGGAGGGGCTGGGCAGGCGGGACTGGAAAATCTCTAAGCACAGAACCCTAACTCCATTAGACTTGTTGGGAAGCACATCCTCACTGGTGAGCTGCTTCCCTTCTGCTCCCACTGTGATGGCTCCTGCAGCACACTGTAGGAACCCCCAATAAAGCTTAGAAAACACCATTTCTCAAAACAACCTAACTGTGAAATGGATGGGTAGACACCATATTAAGGGCTTCCTTGATGAGGAAGATAATTATATTAATGCTTTGTTTTGTTTAATCAAAAGCATCATGTTTACGTAAAATTTATTTTTATAAAATATATGCATAGGAAGCATTATAGAACTTGTCTATATAGGCATATTTAATATACGTAAATATTATACATTTGATATACTTTCTAATGGTAAAATACTCCATGCAGTAGACTCTATGCAGCCATGGAAATCCACAGGAAACTTGGAAATCCACTGGAAACCTGCTTCTAGCATTCAGTTGGGTGTGGGAAAGCAGACCTTAGATCACCCGGCCTGGCACATTTGCAGTGCCCATATAAAAGCTGAGTGCATGATAGAGCATGTGCTGTACCCCTAGCACTGAGCTGGAGGGAGGCAGAAGGATTGCAGGGGTTCAGTGGGCAGGCAGTCAAGCCCAAACCCAGAAATCGGCAGGTTCAGTGAGACCCTGCCTTGGAGGACTAAGAGAGCACTATAGAGGAAGACACCCAAAGTCTTCCTTTGGCCTCTGCACAGGTACTCTATATACACAGGCATGTGTATACTACACACACACACACAGAGAGAGAGAGAGAGAGAGAGAGAGAGAGAGAGAGACACACACACACACACAAATAAAATAGACACACACACAAATAAAATATTACTTTTTTTGTTTTTTTGAGACAGGGTTTCTCTGTGTAGCATTGTGCCTTTCCTGGAACTCACTCTGTAGCCCAGGCTGGCCTCAAACTCACAGAGATCCATCTGCCTCTGTCTCCAAGTGCTGGGATTAAAGCTGTGCGCCACCACCGCCCCACTGATGATATCACTTTTTAACCAAAGTTAAAGTGGAGATCTTGACACCTAGTACTGTCCCATGGACCTAAACCACTTCAGTGTGGTATCACACATCCTCAGTTAGTCCTCACTGTAACTCTGTAAAGCCATACATATCCTGCTGTGGGATGTCAGTAAGAAAGCAGGCAGGCAGGCACCAGAGTCAAGTCTGAGGGGGAGGAGTTTGGAGGGAGGGGACTAAATCTGCAGGTTTCCCAACACCCATTCCTCCTGGTCACCCTTTCTTTCTCCCATGCAGGCTGCAAAAGCGTGCAGTATGACCTGGTCTTCCTCTTGGACACCTCCTCCAGTGTGGGCAAGGAGGACTTCGAGAAGGTCCGCCAGTGGGTGGCCAACCTGGTAGACACCTTTGAGGTGGGCCCTGATCACACCCGTGTGGGGGTCGTGCGCTACAGTGACCGGCCCACTACAGCCTTTGAACTGGGCCACTTCAGCTCCCGCGAGGAGGTGAAGGCCGCTGCCCGGCGCATCACCTACCACGGGGGCAACACGAACACGGGCGATGCGCTGCGTTACATCACCAGCCGCAGCTTCTCTGCCCAGGCAGGTGGCCGGCCTGGGAACCGTGCCTTCAAGCAGGTGGCCATCCTATTGACGGATGGCCGTAGCCAGGACCTGGTGCTGGATGCTGCAGCAGCTGCCCATGCAGCGGGCATTCGCATTTTCGCAGTTGGTGTGGGCGCCGCCCTGAAGGAGGAGCTGGATGAGATCGCTTCAGAACCCAAGTCCGCTCATGTCTTCCATGTTTCCGACTTCAACGCCATTGACAAGATCCGTGGCAAGCTGAGGCGTCGGCTTTGTGAAAGTGAGTGGCCCTGCTTCCCTGTGGAGCTTTGTCACCTTCCGAGGCCACTCCCACCTACCACCTACACTGGCCGCAGAAAATTCTGTGGGCAGAGACCGGTAGTGTGCCAAACTCAGAGGAGGCATGGGTAGGCAAGAAGCAGAGGCAGGGCAAGTGAAACTACCATTCCCTGGGGTTAACAAAGCAAGGGGCTGAGCTACAACCCACACTCAGCAGAGGCTGTCTGTCATCCAGGCATCTGTTTGATGTCTCCCCCTTGAGTAGAGGCGGTGGTGGGCAGAGGTGGAAACGACTTGGGGAATTGAAGTGACCCTGGTCCTCTTTATCTCTGGTCTGCTGACCACCCAGAGCTCCTGAAGTTAGAGGCAGAACCTGGGCGTTCTAACTATACAGAAGTTCACTGGGGTGTATAGCGTTTGGGACTCAACAAGTGCTTGTTTTGGGGGCTACCTTAATCTGGCTTTGTGATGTTCTTAATTGGTAAGCTCCTTACGGTAAAGAGGTTTCTAGTTTTTAGAAATTAAAAGAATAAAATCTCCCAAGTTAAAAAAGAAAGTTAGAGGCTGAGCCTGATAGGCTCTGCCAGAGAGTTACGGTGAGTGATCAGGAAAGAAAAATGGTGGCAGGCTGACTCTTTGTATTCTGCCCAGCAGCACCGAATCATCTGTATGCCCCAGGGGCTGATGACCTGCAGACATCCTAGATGACCCGGGTCTCTTGACTTGTTTGCCTGGAATTTGTTGAGTGTGGCAGGTTATGGGGTTGAGTGTGGAAGGGCATGAGCATTGGGCGGCAGCAGACACACAGATCCTGGCTCCAGGGCTGACCTTGAAGTCTGACCTCCAGGACTTTAGAGGGGTCATTTTGAGGACCACCCCTCAACCAGAATGGGAAGTACAGAGATTTTCTCTTTTCCCCGTCTGTCTGTGGTTTTCACCTTTTCCCTCTACATTGTGGTGATATTGGATATCACCCTTGGATATTGGCAGTAAGTAGATCACTGTGTGACTTCCCCCTCCAGGTCCTGCAAGGGCTGTGTTTTGAGGCTGGTTGGGGGAGGAGGTCCTGGGACCAGAGTTTCTGACTCTCTTGCTGATTACTGCAGGGGAATGAGCCATCCCTGGATGGGAATCCCAACGGGTCATCTGCCAGGAGTGCAAGCAGCCTTAGGGACTTAGGGGTAGTGGATAGGGCCCGTAGTGGGGCAGCTGGGTATGGTTTAGAGGGAGCAGGTCCCCAGGATGGCTGTGGCCTGAAACCCAGTGTGGGAAAGACAATAGATTATTCCAGAAACTGGTGTGACTCTAGAGTTTCATACCACAGTATGACTATCTGTGTTGTTTATTAACCTGCTGTTAAAATGAAATAGGCACACACTGAGGATCTGCATCTGTGGGGCCGTGTACGGATATCTGGACCAGTAGTAACCCCTGTGGTAGTGGATCCTTGTCTCCAAGTCAGTAAAGACACATGAGCTGTGCAGAGACACATGAAGCCAGGCTGGGACCTCATGTGTTGGGGAGGCATTGCTGAGAATGTAGGCTGGGGGGGGGGCACAGGGTCTCTGGAAGTAGTGTGCTCAGGATGATTGTGAATGTGTGGGATTGACAGATGAGATGAGGTGGGATCTAGGGATGCTTTGACCTACCAGGGAACTCTAACACACCTGTGTAGCACAGTCACAAAGGACAGTGAGCTTGCTGGCTTTCGCAGATTTTAGGAGCCTGAGTAAAGAAGATTCTGGAGTGAACATGAGGACACTGTAGGGTGTTATCCAAGGCTTGGGCATAGTCAGATCTGTGCAGAGAGAGAGAGAATGTGTGAGCAGCAGGGGGAAAAAGTATTGTCCCTTTACAAGAAAGCTGGAGCCATTCAGAGAATGAGTTTGGGAGAGCTCAGCACTGATGACTAGTTCTGTTTGACAAATGAGAACAGTGATGTCCAGAGGGCTAAGTGAAGATAACCCATTTTCTGGTATGCAGACAAGGCATTGACCATGGACTTAACAATCAGCTTTATTTAACACTCGTTACAACCCAAATGTTCATTCCTTTTCTCAGCTGCCAAGATCCTAGCAGGCAGAGCTGAAGACAAGCCACCCTTAGCAGTAGAGGTGGGTTGGAGAGGGAACTATGCCAGAGTAGACAGCCTGGTCGGGGCTGATCTAAGGGGTTGATGTAGGGTAATGCTGGTCAGAAGTCTGAGCTGAGAAGAGCTAGAGACCAGTGTCCTAGCCCTAGCAGAGGGGGCAGAGATCCAGCACGTACACTCAAGGGTAAGAGTTCCAGATGTCATCCCAGAGTGTTTTGGGAAGCCAGAGGCATCTGGTATTGACCACTGGCATTTTCCCACATTGCCCATCTGCTTCTGGCAGGTTCTAGATCTTGGCAAGGCTGAATCTGGTTTTGTAAGTACCTCTTTGCATGAGGACTGTTCTGGGAATGGCAGAAAACCCCTGACAGGTGAGTTCCTGAGACTTGCTGCCCAGTTCATAGGACAGCAGGCCTAGGAGCAGACTGCTGCCTCCAGGCTGTGCCCTGCACAGGTTGGACTCCTCCAACTGTGACTCCTGGTCAGGGCTCACTGTCACCGACCTTGCCTCCGAATCGGGGACAATGCTTCAGAGCACAGGTGACAGAAAACCCTACTCCAATGGCTTAAAGAAGAAAGCCATCTGGTTTCTATTTTGTATATTTAGTTGTGGATAGTTTCTCAGGAGGCAGACAGGTTGTATTGGTAGGTTCTGTGGGGAGTGGGAACAAGGAACAAGGTCGTAGAGCATGGATAAGATCAAAACACATTGCATACATACACAAAATTCTCCAAGTATCAACACACAGTATTATTTTTAAAAAATAAATTTGCAGACATCAGCATTAGCACTCCCCTCCCATCACTGTGCACTTCAAAATCATGCTGTAAATTGGACACAAGATTTAGATTACA